AGACCCTATATCTAAACCTACTTGAGGAGCATAAGCACTTATAATATTAAAAATTTTAGTATCAATGATAATCTTAAGGGCTAGAATTCTATCACCAACTCTATTAATATTTACAACATTATCTTTCAAACTCTTATCAATAATTACATCTACATCATTTCTAGTGCGACTCTTACCAGAATACTAAAGTTTAAAACCTAAATTATCAATCTCCTTAGTCTTTTCTCCAACTCATTTAGTTTCTTGAATACATAAGATATTAATTTTCCTATGAATCATAATATCAACTAATTCCATTAATTTACCATTGAGAGTACCAATATTTCAAGATCCTATCATAATATTAGTTTCATTAGTTTTATGAACTAATTTTTTTACCCGCATTTGTCCGTAATGTGAGAATCATTGCTTATTTGACACTACACCCAGACGCCGGTGTAAGCGGGTCTCTTTCACTGTATTCAAGTTATACAGTGCGTCGCTTTCAGGGGACGCCCTAGCACTTACACAATGATCAAAATGATTCATGTCATGATTTTTTTCGACAAGTTTTACACTGGTTGTCGACTACCTAACGCAATCGTCCACTTTTACAGAGCAAAAATAAAATTTCTAAATAATATAAAAAAGCATAATTAACTTCTAAATGATGTTAATATCATGAAAAATTATCAAAATGGGCACTTGCATGGCCGTAAGCTGAAATTTTATAGCAGTTAAAAGTTTTAAACAGTCATGATTCAAAAAAATTTTTTGCTAAGTATTAAAATTATAAAAACATTTTTGCTGCAATTTTCTTTGAATCATTGAATCTTCAAGCCAAGTTTTTCCGTTAAGGAATGAGATAAACTTTAAAAAACATTTTTAAAACAAATTTATTTGAATTATTTAATCTTCAAGGAATGTGCAATATGAATTCACCAAGCCGTTCTCGCCCGCATTTGAAGTCAATTGCCAGATGATTTCAGAATATGGACGTTAATGACTTTCATGGTGCAGTTTTAAGGAAAAATAATAATCAGGTCATTTAAATCTAGCATTTGGGGGGTCAAAAGAATGTAATCGTTGCTAACTTGATACAAAAAATTCTCTTTACAATCTTTAGAGTTAATTAAACATGAAAGTTCACATTTCTAACACTTCAATAGCATAATATTAACACAAAATATGACGACACCAATCATATACGGCTACAAAATAAGCAAAATTAAATGAATGAATAAGCTTGTGATTTAGTGAATCAATCTCAAGAGAGAAATTTCAGATTTTCTAATTTGGTCATGACAAACAGATCACAAAGATTACTCCAGCTAAGGCTTGAATTAAAGAATTTTATTATGCTAATGGATGGGTAAGGATGAGATGAAAAAAATCCAAAAATATGAATTAAATGAAAAGTAAACAAAACTACAAAAAAAAATGTAAAAAAAAAGACAGACAGAGTTTTCATCAAAGACATATTAAGCCTTCTTTAGTTTAAAAAAAGAGGAGGAAAATCATTCAAAATTTGGAGAAAGTGAAAAAAATATGGAACAAATTAAATCATCAAAGAAATATTTATGTTTCTATGATTTTTTTTATAGAAAATTATTTTTCATTTTAGAGTTTAAATGATTAGCAAAATTGTCTTGAGTGTTACTGGGAGCAGAAGCAACAGTAAGTTTCAACCACGATTCCGGTCAAAGAAAAAAAAAACAATCACCGTCTTGTTCAAGCTATTGACCATCTACGAAGTAAGTCAGTAAACTACTAATGAGGCTCAAAGTCCGAGAAATTAAAAACGTATCAGTTTGACCTTACCAGTGAATAAGTTGCAACATTAAAGGGCGAATATATTTTACCACATATGTTACTGTTAGAGAGCTAGATCATGAATAGATATAACTATTTTGGATGACCATCCAAGCATCCTAACATATGTGTTGAAGATTTCAAATTTTTCAACAATATCTGCAAATCATTAACAATCTCCAAACAGGAAAAACAAAAGAAAGCCTGAGCAGACAGATAACGGGACTTTTTAAAATGAAAAAGAATAAAAATAAGACAATAAAGCACACGTAAAGCATCCC